TACAGCATGAAAGTCTATTTACAAACTATCAACATGGTTTTCGCTCGGGATTCTCCGCAGAAACTGTTACCACTCAGTTTCTATGGTTCATCTGTGATAGCCTCGATGAGGCTTCGATTTATTTAGAGCCTTTGACACCCTACCCGGGTTTCTGAAACAAAAACTATACAAAATGGGTGTCAGAGGTATCAACAATCACTGGGTTACTTCGTACACTATCATAAGTTGTCTAATATATTTAGGGTAGAGTTAGTAGTGGTACTACTCAAAGAAGTTTTTTATACTGCGATGGCATGACGGCTGTAATATGGAATATTTATTGGGTAATTATTGTGAAAAAAATCAACAACAGTAATAGAATCTACTGGGCAATATCAACAACAACCTCAAAATTTATAATCTAGCATAGTATCTTTTTGCCCGGGAATATTTGTTATTCATAAACCAAAACTAGATTAATTTTTAATCTATCACCAATGCAATCATGCAAAAAAACTGTTGGTATCTTTACAAACTCCTTATCTACACCCACAGTCACAATTCAAAATTAAAAAAAAAAAACAATTGTGAAGCCCAAGTGTTGTTTGTACTTGTATTGTAACTTTATATTTTACTTTTTACACCACCTTCCTTCATAAGTTTTTAAAACTGCCAAAGCCTACTATGCATAAGTTTAGAAGCTTCTGTAAAATACCTAATTACACACCGATCTAGCGTGCGGGAAGCGTCACTTTACTTACGTTTCCCACGGATCCGAGCCACTTCGGGCACTTCCGGGATTTTACCGCACGGGTTTGGCAGCAATCGGATGTTTTCGGAGATGTTTCGCTTTGTTGTCAATTCTAACGGTCATGTCAGTGAATGTATCCGTGTTGCTTTGCGAAAATGTACCCAAAAAATAACGGTCGTAGAAAAAGTATAGTATGCAACATGTTCGGTAAACTTTTTCAACCGTTGACCACACTTGTTGCATAATATACTATAACGGATATATTGTTAATTTTATAAATTAATTATTAAAGCCTTATATAAATTATTATTATACTATACAGAGTAACTAATTTAATCGAGCGATATCATTTCAACAAAAACCCTGCATATGTAAATCCCGTGTCCATGGCAGCCTTTAGGTACCGATTAAGCAAACAGAAAGCGGCGAGTAAATTTCGTCCACGCAGATCGCCCGGGGGTTATTTGTTTACATTAAGATTTAACTCCGAAACACATGCAACGACGTTGTACTGTATATGCGGTAAAAGGCCAAACGGATCGGATACCCACCCGTTGTAAAGTAAACATATCGTAAAACGCATAAACTCGGCCATTACTTTCACTGCTTTCTTCGATTACGAAAGTGATTTTTAATGATTTTCAGTTTTCGTCTCGTATACGAAAACCGCCCGATAACAATCCCCATGCGGTCGATAAACTAAACACGCTCGGTTGACTTTACGATAGCCCACGAGCCACACGAAAACGAGAAGCAAACGACGACTTAACAAAATATCCGGGCTTGCTTTTGTCCGCAAATATGGAAGTTACCCGCCGACGGCAGTAAAACTCGGTTTCGATAGGTATTAAACCTTACATCAAGTTTCACTTTCAATAATAGAACCACAATTACAAAAAAAAACTGCGGCAATCAGCAGTACAAGGAAAGTGCAGTGTGCAATGAGTTAAGTTTTTGTAACCGAAGTTTGATGGCAAAAAGATAGAATTTTAGCATGTTGTAGTATTTTAGCATGATAAAATAACCAAATCTTCTCAAAAGATCGTTTTTTTAAATAAGCCATTGTAAATAGAACAAAAAAAAAACAAGATTCTTTCTAGTGGTGGCTCACAGAGAGAAAAATGTGAAACCGCGTTTTAACCTGATTTCCACTGGTAAACACGCAGGCACAGCGCGATTGAGTTTTTTTCCGTTTTTCTTTATGTTACGCGTTTTAAATTGAGTTTCTTCGTCATTTTTATTTTTTTCACATAAATTCGATAGAATTAAAATTTACCTCAACCAGAATAACAATAACCATATGGGTTTTAAATTATGTACAATTTAGTGGGTTAATTATCAGAATATGGTATCCCACTTAGTACCTACATAAATCTATCCTATTAACGGTTGCTAATAAATTCTGGTAATTTATGACGATTAATTAATTAGCTCTCTCTAATTTGAGTCCCTATACCTGATAAAATTTGAATATTTTGCACAGAAGCGTCGCTAATAGGACAGCCAAAACTTTCTTTTACGGGGAAATTTTTTCAATTTTTTTTAACAAAAATGATATTTTTTAAATAATTCGACGACTTAATAAATTATTTTGGAAACAACTATGCAAAATGTAACTTTGAACTTAACTGTTTATGGTATAAATTTTATTTAAGAATATTAAGAATAATACGTTGTATGCGTTATTAAATATTCGATTTACCATGTCAGTTAGCGAAACATATTTCAAAACAAAATGGAAAATTTACACGGCTACGTTTACAAAGTAAATATTCAAATAGAATTAGCCCAGCCCATTTTATTATTTATTATCAGGTTTCAAATGGCTCAAAACGCTATCTGCGAATAAACATATTAAATTTTAAAGTACAAAAAAACTCGTTGAAGCATACACAGCTGTGCCCGATTCGTTTATATTTTGAACTTTGATAGTATATCAAAGAAAATACGAGCAATTTTTGTATTTAAGGATATGATATGCAAATTTAAACGCTGTTTTGGCTTTACGGAAATCTCTCATAATGCACGCTGCATGACATTGAGCGTATTCCTAACCCAAATTTTAACGTAAGTATTTCGACAGAAATAGTGCCCGAGCGCGTTCCCAAACGAAATTCACACAAAAACGTCAACAGCGGATAATACAGATTATAACTTAATCATTCTAAATTGCTTCCTTGGTCAGAATTTCTCCGAATCGCTAACGATCATTATCTAGGGGCAAACTATGTGTCACATCCCGCACCAATTAAACTACGGATAAGGAAGACGTAATTCATAAGTAAACTAACGCCTTTGATCCGTTTTACACAAAAATTACCGCACCGCCGCAGGGGCGATTAGCATTTCGTTCGCCCCACAAATCCCGACGAGGTTTTGCGCCGCGCAATCTAAATATTTGAAGTTCGTTAACTTAATTATTCTCACCGAAGCCCCCGGTTGCTATTATTACGTGTCTTCAAACAAATCGAATAAGATTTATTTGATATTGTGCGTTCGACGCTCTCGTACCGTGCCTCGAGGCAGACGAACGGGGTATCCAGGGTGGTCAGCGACGATGCAATAATGAATCACCTCTTTGAATTTTTTATTGCGTGGTGATCGCTTTTTTAAAAGATCGCCGCTCGGACCTCAATTGCATTAATGTTATTTAAACGAGGCTCTCGTTAAATGTCGATGGAAGGGTCCAACGCACACAAAACAGAAATAAATACGATGGGAATACAATTAAAACAGCTTATAAATGGGACGCCAGCGGAATACAAATGAGGCACCGACGCCTGACCGTTCCGAGGTTTGGTGAAGCCCGAGTGCGTTTTCTGGCTCCTCAAAAAGCCGTTCCGCCTTCACGGATGCCATAAAAATTTCAAAATAATGATAACACGGGCAGTTTTTCAATGGTAAACAGACGGTACGAGGAGAGTCGAAACGCTAGATATATCGAATCGTATCGGGCGACTTACCTGCGCCTATTTTCGGGACTTTACTCCGACGCTATGAAAAAATCCATTTTCACCGCACGCGAGAACAAGTTTAGTTCATAAAAAACACCGCAGATGCATCACTCACTACTTCAACCGATTCGAGACTGCCATTTTAGCATGTTTTGACATTCTACATACGACCGCGCTGTAGAGTCCTCTAGCGAAGCTTTCAGTGAAGCTTTTTCGATTGGTAATTCGACGTCCGAAAATAGGCAACACACAACACACCTAAAAGGATTTCTGCTATTCCATGCATGGCAAAGAAGACCGGTTGGAGCGCCTGGCCTTACTATAATGTAGCCGATCAATGGTCCGTGTAGCGGGAAGAATTTAATCTTTCACAATTTAGGTTATAATTTTGATTACTTTAATAGGGATTTAGAAAGTGAAGCTTATGGCGAATTACAGACCCCCGTATACGTGCACAGAAGATGTTACGATATTAAGGCACATTATTGATAATGATCACGGACAAATTATCATGGGTAACTCTCTATGGAAGAACATGGAGGAGGGCCAGGTAGTTCCCAATAGAACTTGGCAGAGTTTAAAGAACCGCTTTCGGAGAACGATCGTGTACGATTTACGTAGGCCGGAATATAATCTTTCACAGGCAGATATTGACTACCTGAAAGGCTGTTTTGCTTCAATCAGCAATGAGACTCGGCAGTGGCTGAGAAAATACCCAACTGAAATTTCTGCTAGTCAAGCTAGGGAGCTTATCTCGAGCAATCATTCTTTCCTCGCCGTGAATAGCAGTAGCGACGATGACACCAGTTAAGAACCGATTCATTTGTACATAATTTTGTTTTGTGGAATATTTGTAAGTTTGTTTTTGACTTGTTGCAAGATATGTCAAAATACATTTTTCTATTTTCGTATTGAATTGTTAGTCATTAAAATTAAATAAATAATTTGTTAGTCACAAGCATTTCGACCACTATTTCAAAAGTAACTTTAAGACCAATTATTTTCCAGATCTTTATTTCGTATTGTTGGTGAAACCGTTTTATTTAAAAAAGCAGGTAGTTTAAAAATGAATTGAAATATGAAATGCCAAATGCAAATTTGATAAGGAGTCTAAAATGGTTAAGTTAAGAAGACACCAGAATATTCTCTGAGTCAGATGAAGTCAGGAAAAGGGATTATTTCTTAAAAAATTAAATGCACCATGTAGCTCGATGAAAGTTATTTTCAGTGTCCAATTATAGGCAACACACATTAGACGTGGCTAAATGGAGGTTCTTCCATTGATTTTCTTATTTATGGGATTAGGGACTAATTGCAAATTAATTTATGTCTTTGTTTTTCGGGAGTATGCTGAGAATACTTCCAATTTTATTTCAGAATCAAATACCTATATCACCTAAACTGTTGCTTCAGCAACAACTTCGGCGTCCGGCGTTGTTGTTGGAGCAGCGGTGGTAAATGTGGCATCGGAAATATCTGCAGTTGTAGTTTCCATAGCCTCCGTAGTTTGTTCAATCCTGGTCAAAGTAGTAGTTACCATCACTGTACTGTCAGCCGTCTGAAGAGTTGTCGGAGATATAGTCGTGGCAGTAGACGGAGTGGATGGAGTTTGGGCTTTTGTTGGCGGTTTTGTGGTCGTAGCTACGATTAAACAATTGCTGCTTTATTTTGTTTTCGACATGTTCCGTCACCCGCTTGCCTGGCCTCCTCGGTCTCCAAAAAATCCACATGCACGGCGGTTCTTCTTTCATCTGGTGTCTGTTTGTCGATACCATGCAATCCTAAAATAAAACCCCAGCAGAGGATTTTTCGTTACCGGCCTGGCCCAACCTACCGCCAAAATAGCCAACGTCCCAAGACAAATAATCACCAGAACGGAGTTCATTTTAAGCGTCACTGCAATGAAGGTTGATATGCAAATGCTGATGATTATTTTTTTCACGAAAAGAACCTATTAGATTAAAATCGGTACCATTCGACCGCGGCCAATTTTTTTCTCATTATATATCGTTGTTTTCACTAATGAGACGATCATTATTTAAAAAAATCATTTACGGAGTGGTTGCAATGGTTCAGTTTGTATCCAGACCGGAAAAGCGATTCAAACGACCTCATTGAATTATTTCGCACAGGTATTTTGTATTTTAATCCATTCGATTCTCAACTTTTGTTTTGCTTTGAATGTATAAAAATTTTTACAATATTTTAAAATAAATAAAGGGCTTTAACTACTCAAAAATTGTACAAAGTACAACTTCTTCGACTCTTTGGTTGTTTTCGTATCTTGCCTCGTTTTCGAAACGAAAATTGAAAAAAACCTGTTTAATGAACTTTTTTTCATCCTTTTGTGACAAAAAAAAAATGACCACCATCATTTTCATTTCAGACTTGTAGCCTACGTCACGATTTTTGAACTAGCCATTTTTTGGTAAATATTGAACACCGTGTATTAGAAACGAAGAATGTTCAGAGCTGCTTGTATGTGTATTTCTTTTTTTTTAATTTATTTATGAGTATCAAGCATCGGAGCATGCTTTTGAAAAACCCTGATATTCGAATCTAACGTGTTTGTTAATATTATTTATTTACTTATTTAAAGAACGTAGGTTGTAGTACAGTATTACATAGTTACAGAGGCATTGCAAGTGATGATGATATGACGAAACTTAACCTATTTCCCTAACCTAAATCTATTTAATATCTAATATTGTATGCGAAAAACCTTGTGGGGGATATACTCCGTCCATTTTATACCATATATACTTCAAACACTTACGCTGAATGTTTCCCATGCTATTAATATGACAATTGACACTTCTGTATTTTTAAAGTTTCTGATAAAACCGTAGCAAGTATAACATATAGGGTGTTTCATTTGATTTTTTCACGCAAATTAATATTTTTCATTTCGACTCATCCTGTATAAATGATTCGAACTAACTTCCAAGACAAGCATATGATAAATGACGGTACTACCTCATAAAATCGTTATCATAATAAAATTAGCGCTGTCGGAAATGGCGTCAAAATTCAAACACTTGGGCTTTTTGACAAAAAAAATGGAAATTCTACAACAAATAACAAATGAGATATTTCTTAGACGCACTATTTGAAGACCCTGTATAAGACACACACACTTGATTATAATAAGGACAAACAGTAAGTTTAGAAGCCTAGAATTTGAAACCAAGCTCAGTGATATAGCTTATCGAGAACCTCGTAGAGTAGTACTGTGAAGTGAACTAAGTGTCCATTATGGCATCATTGGTCCTGAAAGAGTTAAGGGTTGTCCATGTTTTGCCCGGCATAGTGAATCCAGGAAGGCAAAATAATGGGGCAGTAATCAGGTGATGTGAGTCGGGATTATTTTCTGCCCATTCCTCCGGCCAGCAATCTTCGGCGTTGAAATTATCAGCTATTATTTATTTTGATGTAATTTCTACATTCCTCGTGGATGCGGTGCTGGTCATTGAACATCCTGGTTGTGATAGTAGTCCTTCGGGATGAATGGTGGTTCGTTTACCATCGCTACTCGACAGGTCCTTCTGGAAGAAATACCATAAAATGTCGCGAATGAATAACATACTCAAGAATAATTTTTTCCAAACAGTTACGTTTGGAGGAGTCTTTTTAAACAGTCTGTGTAAACAAAAAAAAACTGTAAAATATTGCAGTAGTATATCTTATAACTTTTGCGTTCACTTGATCCGAGTTAATCACGATGGTGACAAACAAGATTGCTTTCGAAAAATGGTAGCTGGGCAGGGCAAGTTCGTAGCGCGTAGCCCGAAGCAGCTTTGTATTTCAAAACGAAGCCGCTTCACGATTTCTTGTGCTAGAGGGACGCATTCTTTTTCTATCGTGCTCCTGAGGACCATGTTTTATACAAAAACGGAAATTTTCAAGGACTTTTTGATTTTTTGCCCACAATCAACCCACCCTGTACATAATTGAAAAAATGCCAGAAATAGAGGTTATAGCCCTGGATCTCCCACGTTTCCTGATACAAGAAATTTTCCAATGGAGTAAATGGTTTTCGAGAAAATAATTTTTTTCTGAAACTATGCAGTACGCCGTAATGGTCAATGACGTCATCGCGCCTGGACAGCCCGTGTCATAGACGAAAAATTGTAGCTCCTCATGCGGCATATCACAGTGTTTGAACTGATTAGCAATATTTTTGGACGAATTTTGATTAACGGTCAATAATTTACTACCGAAAAAAAACAATTTTCAAGGTCTTTTAGACTCTTGTTTATAATTAAAACACCCTGTATATATTCGAATATAGCATGGAATAATGTAAAAGGTACCGACATCTGAAACATTGGTTTTCAGTTACAGTCAATTTTCAATAACAGGGGGACCCATTTTTCAGTTTTTCCGAATTTGTTGGGCACGCTGTACATTTTTGAAAAATGGTCAAGAATGAAAGTTTATGGAGCCGATTTTTCTGCGTGTTTTCGTTCAAGAATTTTTTCCGTTTTGTAAACGGCTTTTGAAAAAGGATCTTTTTCGTAGACCCGCGCAAAACGCGTTTTTTTTTTTTTTAAACACTTCCCGACCAAGCAGCCCCCCTGTTTTCAATAGGTGTCGTCACAGGGCTAAGCTGCATATATGTGCCACATAAGAAGTCTATTGCTTCAAATTTCGGATACTTTTGTGTTTCATAGCAATGTCCAAAAAATAGTCGAAAATCGCGAAAAAAAGATGGATACCGGTTTCAGATCGAGGCTATTTCTTATAGCTTCTCGGTCAGCTTCGCAGAGTGGAATTGTGAAGTCAAGCAGTCAAGGGTTGGGAATGTTTTGCTCGGCATAGTGATCCAGAAAGGCAAAGTAATGGGGCAGTAATCGGAATCGGATGTGGCTCGGAATTATTTTGTGACCATTCATCCCGCCAGCAATCTTCGGCGTTGAAATTATCAGCTATTATTTTTTGTTCCAATAACCATAGAAGTATTGTGGATTTGAGGTGTTTGATGTAATTTCTACATTCCTCGTGGATGCGGTGCTGGTCATTGCTAATGCCCTTTTTCCACTCGAACCAATATGTGATAAAACTGGCAGCCATTGAACTGGAGGCTTCGGCAAAATATCAAAAAGACCGGTTGATGAGTTAGTAGAAGAAATCACAAGCTTGTACCAAATCATAATGCGCACAGCATAGATCCCTTCTAAGTGGAAAACATGCATAACCATTCCGGTATTCAAGAAAGGATCTTAATAACTATAGAGGAATAACCCTATTGTGCTCTCCATTGAAGCTATTTACAAAGACCTTAACGCAAAAGATTACGGGGACTATAGAGACTTGTGAGGAGCAACAAGGTTTTAGAAAAAAACGTCCCGCATTGGACGCCATATTAATTCTTAGATCAATAGAATGTAATGATAAAACATTTAATAAATTAGGTCAGGGAGATGCTATTGCAGAGGCCTTGTGGACACATTAAGGCCAGTAGGATTAGCAAAATAGGCAAAGACACAAAAATCCTCAGCACAAGACAATCACCAGGCAGACCCCTACAACGATGGCGAGATAGCTGGACGTCTCTCTCGCCAGAGTCACTGTTAGCTAGATTACACAAGGGCATAGCCCTAGTCAAAGAAGAAGAAGAAGAAGACCGAAATATCCATCTCCACAATAAAAAAGCCAAATATGGACGCCGCATCAAATGTAGGGATCAATTAATCAGATACAATCCCCACTCAAAATATCTGGGAGTTACTTTGGAATGGTCTCAAACATGCAAACAACATCTAGCTAACACGGCTGCAAAAACACCAACCGCACTCACCTTGTTGACACTGGCCTTAATAATGCGATGAGATCTATACGCCAACTATTCTTGGAAAGCTATCGGTAATTATGTAAATTAGAATAGAAAAGCTGCTTCTCCGTCAAATTTTATTCGTTAATTGTGAATTTATTTGCATAAACCGAGCCTATTTTTTATGTTTGTTATTATTGTTCCGTATTCTCTTTTATTTTATTTTTTAATAAGACCACGCTGCAATATTCACGTTTGTGATATTGTTTGGAGCAGTAATTTGAATAAAATGTGGAAAATGGAAAAAAACCAGACGTATTCTCCCGGCTACTAAACTCCGGTTTCGTGCGGCAATTTCGATGCGGTATGTGCATGTAGCGACACGTCATAAAACCGGCAATTACTCAGATCGCATCCCAACGTTCTCGTTCTTGCTTTCACATCAAACCAAGAGTTGGATTTTATCGGTTGTCAACAAAAATGCGTTGTTTATTTACTTGCATAAAGTTCTGCGCCGTCATATTGTTAATGGTACGTTCATTTTGAAAGTAAAACATACGTAAATAATGTCTTCTAGGGTCGGCTTGGCAGCACCCAGTACGAAGCCCGTTACAGTGGCGGCGGGGCAGGTTTTGGGGAAGGAGTTGATATCGCGATGACTTTCGATGCGGGTATTAATGGGATTGATCGCGCTTCCAATCAAAACCAAGAGGTGCGTTATTTTTTATGATCGACCTGGTGGAGACTAAATTTTCATTGTAGGTTATTAAAGAAGTAGAAACCTTTGAAGGGCCTGACGGTACAGTCGTCGTGACTAAAGAGGAAACCATGCGACGTAGTTGATAAATTTTGATGTCATTTTGTTCAATATAAGGCTAAGAGTGCTCTGCAGAGTGTGTTTCATTATTATTGTTAACTACCTCACAAATTTTAATGTACATAATTCATAAAATATAAATTTCCTTGATATTGTTATTCCAATTTTTCAAATTCAATAACTCTCATTTTTTCCGCAACAGTTATTTCGCCCGATAACAACTGATAACAATTTTAATATTTTTATATATCGATTTTCTCAACGTTTCTTGTTTCAGTTTTACTTTATTAATTCTCCCGGAAGCGCATTCACAGAGTATACCACGTAGGTACCATACGCCCTTCAGGTCACCCTTCGTCTTTATAGTGGTCAACTATAACGAATATGTTACCAACGAAAGCTGATTTCACACCAAACTTGTCCATCCTATTCCAATTACTTTATAATATTTATGGATAGGAGCAAATACTATACAAAACCATAGCTTTGTCAGAGTGGAAAGATTATACTGCGCAAAAACTAAATATGTTTGCAGTTTTGGTCTGTTAGTTTTCGCTCTGTTTCTTTTAAGGATAAAACATGAAGTCTGACTTGATGGACGCAAAAGGTGTGGTCTGGATTACCCTAATCTTATATATTTGTTTTTGTGCCACCCAAATACTCCAAACGTGCTGAAAATTGTCATATACCTTACTAAATACCAACTTTTAATATAACTTTTTTATGTTAAAAGTAACTGGTAACTTCTAATATGTTAAGTTTATAAAACAGTTGTTTATAAAACAATAGATATTATATAACGATTGCCCATGATAATAATATATTAATATTTACCATTTCATAAAAACGTTACATAACAGTTTTTTAAAAGAGTTGTAAGTGAGGTCCCGGAAGATCATAAATAGCATTTCTGTGTCCTTTGACCATCCTATAAAACTATTTATAAGTATCGTTTCAAGAGGTTATTAGCGGCAATACAGCATTACAGAATACTTTTTTTAAATAATCCTTTATTCAGTCAGACAGCACATATAAATATTTTAATTATATTGTAATACACTAATAAATTAAACATGAATTAAGGTAACTTTCTAAACAATGCATTAAGCATTGGTACCAAAAGCATTTTAAGTGAATTATCTATTAATAATCTAATATAATGGTTTTGAGTTTTGCAAGATTTTAATTAAATGTATTATTTCATTTCATAAATATTTTTTAACCTTTTAACAAAAGTATTATAAAAAGTCTCATTTTTCACAATGTTAGCCAGTAGGTTGTATATCACTTAATGGATTTTGCAATTCATAACTGTATGTCAGTGTGATTTCTTAAGTTGTGTGAGTGTATTTCATTGATATAAGTTATTTTGGTCTTGCTTTTAGCCTTTTTCTGTATTATTTTAAAGATAAGTTTGGATTGCTTTTTACAAAACTTCTGGATTCCTCCTGCGTCGGTTTTTGCTTAGTCGAAATTGCTGACGTTTCGCCAATCATCCTGTTGGCTTCTTCAGAGCTTGATTGAAACTGGCTCGTATTTTACTCTGTACCTGCTAATATATTGCCTGAGTGAGGGGGGGGGGGGGGGGGCGCTAATGAAGGATGTAAACATCGTGTCGGATTTTTCCTTGGTAGAAAATCCGAGAGTCTATAGAAATCTATAAACAACCTAACAATCTAAATGGCGACTCAGGTCTATACCTGTCCCCAGTCTGTGTTTTTCGTTTTGTTGACGCAAATCCATGAAATCAACTGAATCAACCGGTACAGCCAGTAGTATCTCTATCAGATTGTAGGGACGTAGTTAAGCATTCCTTTATGTTAGATTAAGTTGGGAGTTTTAGTTTTATGTTATGTTTTCTTCTTGTAATTTCCTTAAATCACTTAATATAACACTTTCGTAGATGTTACAATACCAAATTTAAAAATAAGTTTTGTTGTATTATATTCCTATAATTGGAAATAAATCATAGCTTTACATTTCTTCGCAAAACCGCTACTATCGGAGCAGATTGTCATAAAGTGCTAACAAAGAATAAAAATTTTACGAAAAGCAACGTGGGCTTATAAACGAAATCCAGAAGTTGGGCAATATTTTATTGATCTTTAGTCAGATTCGTATGTGCGGCAAACTCATTAGGACTGTTTCTCTTCGGAGGAACTGGAGGCCTTTTCGATTGCGGTTTCGCTGCAGACCATCCTGCAGGTTAGTTTACGACCTTCCTCGTTGTAGACGTTGTCGAACGGATTGAAATGGCGCCTCATGGAAGGAAAACGTCCGGGAAATCCGAAACCCGGAGAAGACACGTCAAGTTGAGGAAAGGGAGCGTAGGCCGACTGATATTGCGACTGGCATTCGGTCAGTAGCTAAAATAATTAACATTAAAACATTTTTTTTCAATTAAATTACGAAAAATTCCAAAGGACTTACCAATGCAGCCGAGAGGGCTATGAAACAGTTTCCAAAATGCATTTTGCGGGTGTGCTGGGGAATAATCTGATATGATCTAAACATGGCGAACGAAGGCCAGTTTTTATACGTGTTTTGTTATATTTATGAATAATATAACTTCCGGGCGGCGAATGATTCGCGCTATTGTATTGCGAGATGTATTCGGGCGCTTTCCGAAGCGGTACCAAAAAACGATTTATTATATTGTAGGTTGAGCGATTTATAATGTTTAAATTGATTAATTAAAGTGGAATTATTTATTTATTTATTATTAATTTTATGGACAGAGTCGATTTCTAGATAAAACTTAGGAAAACTTAGCAATAATGCACAGTTAAATTACAGGCGGAAACAAAAATAAAAGCCTAGGCGACAGTCTCTCATGCTAAGAAGGGAACAATAAATAACCAATGTAAGCTGTTTATGCTTGCTCGAATCTGGTTCCTAAAATTATCCTCAGTAGTGAAAAAATCTAAATGATCGTTCTCATTGGCCAGGGTCGCCATTGCGATGAATGTATCACGTCCGTAGTTGATTCTGTGGTACGGTACAAAAAATGTACTGTTTACGTGAATTATTCGTATTTGCGCGAAAAACCCTATCTTTGGCTTAACGGAGGGACTAAAATAACTGGAATTAATAAGTTTGAACAGCAACAACAGGTCGGCTTCCTCACGACGAGCTTTAGGGACCACAAGGACCGATGTTAGCCAAGTCGACACGCAATTTCAAAGCTATATAGCAAAGGAAACGTTGCTGAGCGTGTTCGATTCGATGATTATGACATTGATAATCAGGATTCCATAGAGATGAAGCATATTCCAAGTGGGATCGAACAATAACATAATATTACCTCTTAATAAAGCCCAACATTTTATAAGCCTTTGAAATTATGTTGGATATATGATTTTGGACGTATTTAATGTTGGATACAACTTTTAATTTTCCATTCATTCAAGTAAAAGAAACGCATTAGCGGACATAAAAGAATGTTTAAAAACATCACCTAGTCAAAAAGTTTCAAAAAAAAAAATTCAAAATGTGGTTTAAAAATAGCTTTCAGAACTAACAACACAATAGGAAAATGTTCAAAAAACAATAAAACGAAATGTCCAAAATCTCAAAAATCAGAAGTCTACAGAATGAAATTCGGATCTTGCCTTAAAATTTATATTGGACAAACAGGTAGATCCTTCTAGAACCGCATTAACGAACATAAAACACAGTTTAAAACCAATAGTCTCTATTCTAATTATGCTACACACTTAAACACAGGAAAACAATTTTGATATTTTACCTATAGGCACAAAAAGTAGAAAATTAAATTTACTGGAAGCCATGGAGATTAACAAGATGAGGCATTCAGATGTATTGCTTAACGATCAATTAGATTTAAATACCTCTCCATTATTAAACTTAAATGCTGATAACAACATTAATTAAGGTTTTATTGTCATTTTTCGGTATATATAGTAGCAGGTAGTTTGTAAATGTTACATTTGATAAAGCCACGGTGTTGTTGAAACAATTGTCATGTGAATATAAAGTCGAAACTCTATATAGCGATATTGAAGGGACTGCTTTTTTTTTCGTTATAAAGGGTTATGGGTACTTGAAAAATAACAATACGCATATGTGTTCTGTAATATTTAATGTTTTAACATCTACTTAGGAACATTTTATATAAATATTTAAGATCTACTTTTAATGTTTCAAATAATCGGTCATTTTCTTTTGAATTTTTTTAGTATGCCAATACGCATCTCGTACTTTGGCTTGTATTTTCACCATTTCTTCGAGAGGGGCATTTTCCCCATGATACATAAAAAAATTCCCTATCGGCTTAACTGAATATAGTGCTTGTTGAATGGTTGGTGGTGGTCCAAGGTCAACTTCTTCATCTTCTTCTTCCTCTTGGTGCTCTTTCTCACCCTTTCTTGTTTGTGGAATTATCGTCTCCTCTGTCATATCTGCTGTTGTAGGCAAATCCTGATCTATCACCATAAAATCTTGCAACTTCTCACTTGTAAACATAATTATTGTTTGAAACTGCTTTATTCACTCGCTTAGTGGCTGATCACCTTCCAAATCCTGTTCTCATTCTGGTTCGGTAATAAGTCCTGCATGGCGATAGGAGTGTTGAATTGTTTCTCCTGTCGCCTCTTTCCAAGCTTTGCTAATAAAGTTGACTACATCTAGCATATTAATGGAAAATTTGTCTTCGGACTCGATCATTTCCATTAAAATGTTGTTCCTTCCTCTTAAAACTTTTTATTACGCTCTGGTCCATCGGCTGTAATAAATATACTTGTTTGGCTGAAAGAAATCCCAGTTCAATATTGCGTAGATTTGGAATATGGGGATATGCAGGGCAGTCATCTAAGAGAAATAATATTTTCCTCCCCTTCAAATCTGCATTCCATTTCCGTATCTCTTCTTCAAAAATTTGCGATGTCATCCATGCAGACTTGCAGAATGAGAAATTCGTTATACAGAGTGGATTAATACATAGCTTTGTATGGAGACCTAATAGTATAACAGATTTTGTTCGTAATACAGAGATTCGCTATAGGGAGTTTTCACTGTATATAATTTCTTGAAAATCTGAACTTTTAGTTCTTATATATTTCGATCCACTCCAGAAGCCTTACCTGTTATACCTTCTCCACACAGTTTACCAAGTACCACGGCATGATTCATCCTATCAAATGCTTTGCAAAAATCTGTGTAAACAGCATCAACCTGATATCCCGCTTCCAACGCACCAGCGAATGAGCCCGCGTAGGTAATTAAATTCAAAGTTGCCGACCTCCCCGATTGAAAGCCATATTGATGATCTATAATTACATCTTTGAAATAGCGAGTTAAGAATAATTATGCCATAACAAGAATATATTTGAGTGCCTAAATGCCAAACGAAATAAATTTTAAACATTGTTAGCTTTTGGGATTGGGATGTACTGTATAATAAATAAAGCATGTTGCTGCAAATGAGCGTTACGATCGTTAATTATCTGAGTAAATTCTGTACATTCGACTAACTAAAAAAATAATTTAACCAGGCCATTCCCTTTAAACGACACTAAATGCGAGGGACTGATCGTGACGTCATACCGCTGCTTTTCGATCGATACGGCGACATGTTATAGTGTTATTCTTAGGTGATAGGCAGGGACTTATCAATAAAGCCGCCACATTTGAGGGAAATCATATTTTCACATATTTCTATTAACATCTTTTACGCCAAATAATATTTAAATAAATTAGCCGTAAATTTAAGAATCTTCACGGTGTTTCGTCCATCGGCAAAGTGCCAAAAAGCATCATTGAAAGCTATAACATTTTCATCAAATAAATCACTGGGCTTAGTATTGCGAACAAGTTATATGATTTCGATTATTGGAACAAATTTTAGTTTTTCTTTGCTACAATATCTTGCCTTCAAGGCAACAACACCTGTTCTTAAGCATGACATGGAACAACTACTCTAAAAAAGAAGCGAACAATCACAGTCCCTTACGGGCTGTCTAAAATTGTAAAGGTTATAGGGCTAGAATTATATTATTTACGTTTATGTGTGGCTCGTATAAAGATGTGTTTGTATTTAATCTACGCCAATTTGTATTTGTACTTAGGGTGCTTTACATGATAATAATGGAAGTAATACAAAAATAATATTACAAATCGTTCTCTAATTGCTTCTCTATGCTGTCGCCTAGTCTTACATTCGGATTGACGTCACACCCGGGAACAACCAATGAGCACGTTTCAAAGAGGATTTAAATTTTACAATTTTTAATTGCTTATATTTGTGACAACTACTAATTTTTTTTTCTAAACTGTGTTTCTTATAATACTATGATCTTACTTTAATAGGTAACATTTTTTAGATTAATATTTTGTTCAAGTTCCCTATAAGCAAAACAAAAGTTCTACTCCCTCTGAAGTTGACACACGCACATTTTAATTTTTTTTTTTTTTTTTTTTGATGGATGAATGTATTAAAATTTGCATTTAATATTTTGAAACCGGTATTGCGGAAATGTAAGTAAAGGGTAACCACAACTAACTAAAGAACTACTTCTTTTTACGTTATATGCACTTATTTCATTATAAATTAAAAAATATTCAAATCAACTTTATGGTATGTGTTTTTTGTTATTTGAAACATCTGAGTTCAACATGAAAATGGATATTCAAAAGAATAACGAAGATATTCTTCACATAAGTTATTTCCAGAAAGTCAAATTTTTCGATATAAGATAATATAATTGTCAGTTTAACATTATTAACGATAACAAAGGTAAAATAACATTAAATGAAAGTGACCACCAACCTAGAACTAAGCAATAATAAACGTACATTAAGTGTAAATGTATTTGGCTAGAGAATATTTTGCCCTTAAATCATTTGATGTAGTACCACCCGTAAGGTAATAAATAAAAATGGTTACTTTGATGACTTTTTCATATACCTACCGTAAATTATCTGGGTATTTTTTATATTCTGTATATTCTGCGATTAACTAATCTGAGGATATTTTTAAACAGCCTGTATATGAGAAGAAGCTTTTCATGAAATTCAATTCTACAAGTTATTTTTTTCAATAGATATGAAGGTCATTTAGTTTTAAGTAGTAGAAAACAAGCAAAATGTATGCATAAATACAACCAATTTCAATTAAATTTAAATCGTGATATTTTTGGTTTACATGATCTTCGTTTAAGGTTTAAATAAGCCGAATACCTACAGGAATTCTGTAAGAAAAACATCCAAACATAGACAAAATTACAGTAATTTAAATGATTCAAAGGCAGTGCGTCACAGAGATTTTTTTTAATTTACACAGATGTTGCAGAGATTAATAGAAGGCTTTTGAAGAAGTTTGAAACACTATGTACAAAATCTAAGTACATTATTATTGGAGGCTCAAGTTACAATCAATATTGGGGACACTATCTACCTATAAAAAATAACGTAAAAAACCTGGGGGTCTTCTTTGATTCTGACTTGAGATTTGCTGAGAACTGCTCTATGGTAGTCGTCACTATCTCTCAAGAAAAAGAAAAATTACATTGTGCGTGTCTCTTGCGCTTTCTGTATTCAATCACGGTGATATTTTATATGGAAACTGTTT